CCCTGGCAGGGACATCTACATGGCAAAGATGGAGCAGTGGGTGTGTGACGAGGTCCCAGGCCCCAGGACCTCAGAAGGTGGCCTCTTTGGAAACAGGGCCCTGGGAGATGTCATTGGTTCAGATGAGGTCACGCTGGGGCAGTAATAAGACCAGTGTCCTTATAAAGAGAGAACTTTGGTCAGACATACACACAGGGAGAGGGCTGCATGAAGATGGAGGAGGTCAGGTGAAGCCTGAGCTGAGGGCACCAAGGACGGCAGGTGTCACCAGGAGCTGGAAGGAGGCTAGGGACCGAGCTCTCCACGCCCGGATCCAGACACTTCCAGCTCAGGACTGGAAGGCAATCAGTTCTCTCTACAGCATCAGCCACCTGGCTCGTGCCGCTCTGTGATGGCGACGCACTGCCACTGCCACAGCTGGAGGGCCTGGCACCTCTGCCGGCCCAACAGGCCCAGCGGGTCTTCTGAAGAATCCACCTCCCTGCTGCTTCTCTCCAGCCACTCAGAGTCGATGCACGACTGTGTTCCTAGGAAGCCAAGTCGTCTCTCGGCAGCTCCTATGCCAGCACCGGGTCCCCGTGGGAATGGTGGGGACGGGCCAGCGACAGCTCCTATCCAGCTGACAACAGGAGCCTTGGACTGAGTCCAGGAGAGCAGGTGCTGATCCAGGAATCACAGAGCCCCAAGGGTGGGCCACGGGGTGGGAATCCCAGCAGTATAGCTGCCCATCAGTGGGCTGGCGCTGCCCAACACCACGTCCCATGGTCCTCCACAGACTCTGGCTGGAGACTGGCTGCCTCTCTTAGTGTCACCTTCTCCTGGAGTGTCCTCCAGAGTCCATAAGCCTCTGTCTCAGGGCAGGGGCACAGGCCTGGAGGTCCTGCCCAACATTTCGGGGATGCGTCACTGCTCCCCATATCAGTCTGGGTGTGCAGCTGTGGGACCAGGGTCCCCTGGAGCAGGGGGTCAGGCCGTGAGGGTGGGCTGCGCTCCTGCCTGTCCCCTGCCACCCGCCTGTGCCAACAAGACATGATGGCTGCCAGCTACAGGGAGCCTGAGCTCTGCTCTGCAGGACACCCCTGGAGCTGGCAGTTCTCTGGGATCTGCTCCAATGTCCTCCTATCAGAAACACCTTCGCCAACCCCGCACCTTGCCAGGCTCTCTTCCTGTCCCCACCTTGTATGACTGCCACTTGGGCACTGATCTCCCTGACGCCAGCCTGAGGAGAACACACCACCCTGTCACCTCTGTTCCCTGCCGCGTCCCTGCACACACGGCCCTCCAAGGCGCAGCTGCTGAGCAGGCCTTGGAGTCATGGAGGCGGGGAGACCACACCTGAGCTCTCCTCTCTGCGGAATCCACGAGAAGTGTGTGAAGGGAAGGACAGCAACCTCGGGCCCACAGGACTCTCACCCCTGACAACACGTGGTCCCGTCTCGGCTCCTCTCCTTCGTGGTCAGGAAGACAGAGCCTTCCTCAGAGAAGGGGATGACAGAGTGGTTAGAAACACAGGACGCGGATACTGCCGTGGCTGAGCAGTGCCACCCAAAACAGGATGTGTCCACACCAAGTCCCCAGAGCCTGTGACGAGATTTTTGGGAAAGGGGTCTTTTTGTGCTAAGGAGGATTCTGAGCCGAGTCTGGGCTCATCCTGGATTGGGTGAGTGGCCTCTGAACCCAGTGAGGGCCGTCCTGAGAGGCAGAAGAGACACACAGGCCCTGGGAGGCAGAGGGACAGAACGGAATCTATCACCCAAGCCTGGGACTCTCGCCTGCTAGGCAACCCCAGCAGGTTACATGCCTGAGACTTGCTCCCCCTCACAGAATGGGCAGGAACCCAGCTATGACAGCAGACTAGCAAGGACCACCTGCCCTGAACAGCCCAGTGCAATGCTGCCAAAAAGCACTCAAAAGCCACAGTCACACCTAACAGTAACCACGGCTTAAATCATACAAGGGAGTGTAAGCTGATAATCAGTGTTTAAACACCCAGGACAAGTGCTTTGCAGAGAGTGGTCATCTGGTGTGTTTGCTCCACAGATTTCAGCACTGAACGTTGCAGCGGTGAGCTTGATTCGTGCTTTTAGAGGAGGCTGCAAACGCTGCGTGCTGGAGGACAGCAGGGCCCAAGGGAGGAAGGAGAGCCCCGGGTCCGTGAGGAAGGCAGCCCTTCCCTGTGCCTGAGCCCCAAGGCCTTTGGCGATCTGCAGGCCGAGCCGCCCTTGCCACACCCCCAGGCCCGGGCAGAGCCTCCCTCCACCTCAGTGTCCTGGGAGGCCGGGCACCCCGTGTTGGGGTGGCTGGAGAAGAGAAGATACCCTTCCCGCCCACTGAAACTTCCACGTCAGTGTGGGTTGGTGTGTGAATGTCTGCACATGTATGAGTGCAACGTGTGAGATGTGGGAATGTGAATGCTGTGTGCAGATTTGTATGGATAGGTATTGTGAGTGTGCATGAATGTGGCCAGCATGCGTGTGAGGACATGAATGTATGTGTGTGCTCATGTGCCTGAGTGTGCGTGTGTGTAAAGGACAGCACCAGTGTGTGCTCGGGCATGCGTGTGAGCACACACTCAGAGCCTCAGCACCTGGCCCCTCGGGTCCAGCTGTCCCAGCTGCAGAGTGTGAGCCCAAGCAGTCACTTGGGGCCGAGGAGCATGGAGGCCAGGTCTGTGCCTGTCCCAGCCGGGGAGGGGCAGGGCTCCCCAGCTGTCGTCCACTATACAGCCGTGCTTCCCGAGAGTGTTCGTAGCACCAGCCCCCAAGTGCCATGCTGTCCCCTGCCTGGAGAAGGACCTGCCACCACCGAGCTGAAGGCTCCGAGGCTCCCCACGCCGCCGCCTCTCCTCTCCTCTCCCACTCCTTGCCTGCACCTCGGCCCTCACAGGTCCTGCTGACTACAGCACAGCTCCCAGCCCCTCTGTCATTCAGGGCTCAGCAATGTCACCACCCGACACCCGGGGGCCTCAGCTGATTGCTGCCTGCCTGGTAGAATCAACCCCCGCCCCCCCGACTTCTACTCCCCGCTGTGGTAGGGGGATTGAATCCAGGGCCTCAAACTGAGCTACATCAGGGCTTTTTGTTTTTCCTTGACGAGATCTTGCTAAGTGGCTAAGTTGCATGGGCTGAGCTGGAACTTGTGATCTTCTGCCTCAGTCTCCAGGACTGCGAGGATTACAGGCGTGCAACACCATGCCTGGCTAACACTTCTAATTTCTCCCTGGCCCCAGCGAGAGGAGACAAAGGCTGAGGAAGAAGCAGGCGGGATGATGAAGAGGCCAGCGACCCTCCCACCAGCCTGTGTGCGGCCGCCTTGCCCAAGGCTATCCGCGGAAGACTCCACAGCAGGCATCACGCCTCCACTTTCTCAGGGGTCTCCTTAAGCCCTAGGCCTTGATTTTTAAGTGTTCCATCATTCCTGCTTTCCCTTCTGAGTGTGCTGAAGGTGGGAGGCCTTGGTGTCTCCCCAAGGTCCCACGGCCACCAGAGCCAGGCCAAGTCCCTGTGAGCCCTTCCACCTGGCGGTGGCCTTGGTCCGCAGACCCGGGAGAGCCGAGCCGTGCAGCAGCCCAGGCAGCACTGTCCCGGCTGCTCCTGGGTCAGGAGAAAGGGCTCTCCACAGAGGACCCCTAGCAGTCCCACCTGCAGCCCGATGTGGAGGGGAAGGAAGCACCCCCACATGACTGAGGCCAGAGCAGAGAAGTGGCCCTCAGTGGCCCAACCAGGGCAGCGGCTGACCGGGGTCACGAGTTGGTGACACAAACAGAAGCAACTGAAAGTGCAGCTGGGGACAGGAGGCCGCCACCTAGTGGTTCCTGCTGCGTTGTGTGGCCACACCCGGACTCCCCGGCCTGGCCGGTCAGCTCCCCGCTGGAGGGGTGGGCAGGCCTGTGGGGCTGGGCCACTTCTCTGCAGCCACCAGGGCCATGGGACTCAGATGGGGCAGTCACCCCAGAGGCAGGGACCCCATCCATTTCAACACGCCCCCTGCTGGGGCTCACCTAGCTGCAGGCCTGGGGAGCTGAGCTGAGCTGAGTCCAGGAGGCAGAGAAGCGGGGCACAAAGCTGGGACCAGTAACAGCAAAGGCGGTGCACCAGCTGCAAGGAGCAACGCGAGGAGGGTGGAGAGGAGCGAGCAGCAGCGGTCAGGAGGGCGTGGGACGGTGCGCAGCGCCAGGAGAAGCACAGGGAAGCAGCTCGGGGAGACTGTGGGGAGACCTCCCTGCGCCTCTGCAGAGGAGATGCCCCAGGACAGAGCACATCAGAGCACACGGCTCGCCTCTGTCCCGTGCCAACAGCCCCTGCAGGGTTCCTATTGTTCCAGTGAAAATGACAGCCAGGGAGGCCCGCCAAGGCGGGAAGGGCCCACCGGGGATGTCACCAGCCAGACTCCTGGACGCAGTCACAGAGCAGGGGGGTTGAGGGTGGGACAGGTGCTGTCGCTCCCCGGACTTCCGAGCTGGGAGGGGAGTGTGGGGGTGGCAGGACCTGGGTCCTGCAGACCCCACCCCACTCTGCTAGCCCTGGGTCTCCTGCCTGTAGGAGGGGACAGCGGGGCCCATGGGGAAGGGAGGAAAGGACACAGGCCCTGGAAACACTGTTGACAGCTTGCCCAGGATCCCACCTCGGCCACTGTGAGGGCTGCCACCTCCCCTCAGCTCTGCACAACCCAGGAGCCATGGCGGTCAGCACAGAGAAGCAAACAGCGCACTCAGCCCGCCCACAGCAACTGGCAAGGCCTGAGGGCCTCTGCTGCCCAGCGTGCCCAGTCCACCCATGCGTGAGTCACCCGAGTTTGGCACGGTGTCCACGCACCTCAAAGGCAGGCTGGGCCCCCCGATTCCTTCTTGGCTGCCTGACTTCCTGCAAGGCCAGCCCTCCACCCCACACCTCAAGGTGCACAGGGGCCCCCCACCAGCCAGCATCTCAGTTCCACTTCAGTGCATGACAGATCCGGGCACAAAGGGAGGAGTCAGGTCCCTGATGCAGAGCCAGCCTTACCTAGAGCCCAAGGGCAGCAGTGGCTCCTCCTGAGTGGCATCTCTTTGCAGGCTGTCGCCCCTGGCTGAGATGGGCTTCCCCAGGTTCCGCTCTTGGGCCACAGGCTCCTCCTGCTGGTATGGGGCCTCACCTTCTCCCTGGGTCCCGCCTGCTGTGTGCCGCTGGGCCCCTGAGGTGGACGCCAGGCACTTGCTGGATGGAGGGGCACCGTCTGTGGGCAGGGCAGCCTTGGCCTTGTCGCTGGCTTTGGCCAAACCCGCAGCGGGGTGGGAGGCGCTGATGACCCCTCCGGGGCTGCACTTCTCCCGCAGCCGCTCCATGGCATCCTCCTTGCCGTCCCTGCAGCTTCCGCAGCACACACAGGAGTGCAGCAGGCAGTTGTGGGAGCCCTGCCCCGGCTCCTCAGCCCTGGGTTCTGGGGGGGAAACACCAGGGCCTGGGGCCTCCTGTGTGGCTGCAGCAGAGTCTGGGGAGGCGGCTGACTTGGGGTTGAAGATGACGGTGGCTGAGAGCTTCATGCCCCCTGTCCGGTGGGCAATCATCTCCGCCGTCTCCGCATCATCCGAGCTCACCTCCCAGCCGTCCAGGTACAGCTGCGAGTCCAGGCAGCTGCAGGTGGAGCCCAGGGCTCCAGGCGCCTGAACCTGGCCGTCCTCCGTGTTGTTGTTGCTCCGGTCCTCCTCCTTCGCCCTGCTGACCTCCACCTCGATGTGCTGCCCGTTCGACCCTCTCTCCTGGGCACCACTTGCCCACCCCAAGGGGCTGCCAGGGGACTCGGCCCGAGTGGGTGCCTCCGCTGCCTCCACATCCTCCATGAAGAACACCCGTTCCTCCTCGTCACCACCCAACTTCGGCTGCGATCTGCCCGGAGAGGGCTCCCCGTGGGGCCTGCCCTCAGCCTCTGGCCTGTGCGCAGGGGACTGACAGGCACTGGGCGGTGAGAGCAGAGAGGACATCTCATCCCCGGCCCTGTGCACCATGCGGCTGAGCTCCTCCAGCTCCTGGTCATCGTACTGCATGGAGCAGGCCAGCTCTGCCTCTGGATCTGTGGCCTTGGCAGACAGCGGTTCCTTGGGGGGCAGTGGTGTGGGAAAGGTGGGTGCCAGGGCAGAGGGCACCTGGGCATCGGTGCGGATGGGGAGCTCCACATCCTGGGAGACGCACAGGCTCCGCTCCAGCGTGTGCAGCTCCTCCTCGGTCAGCGCCTGCAGCAGATCCCTACAGGTCAAGACCAAAACAATCATGAGCGTCCCAAAGGCCACACCCGCCTCCTCGGCCAGGAGTGGATGAAGCCCCTGAAGTCTGCATTGCAGAAAAGCAACCAGGCAACCAGCACTTGCACTGAAATCACAACACACGATGCATCCTCCACTGCAAAGCAAGGCGCTGGTCTCTAGTCTCCTCCACGCCACACACGGCAAAGGGGCCGACAGGGACTCTGGGATGGTTTCTTTCTTATACGTGAGATTCTGGAACCTCTCACTGGTATCAAAAAGCCCCAATTCCTAGCAAGGTGTTGGCTGCATCAATAAGAACTCTAAAGCATGAGAAAAGTACATGTTGGCTTACACAGATTTTTCTCCTCCGTTCCATGAAGATTTCTGGGCACCAGCTGCACGCCAGATGCTAGTGCTGAGGGTCTGAGGTGAGACAGATATCTGTACACACAACAATTGGGTTTTGATGACAACTGCAAAAAAGAGAAATCCAGGCCCCCGGGGAGGGGACGACAGGGCGCCTGGCTTGGCCTGAGAAGGCTTCCAATCTGAAAGTGCCCTTAATTTGGTGACAACTCGGATGAGCCCAGAGCAGGGATGACGGGGCTGGCTGTACGCTACTCTGCTGGGAAAAGCTCAGCTGGGCCTGAGTACAGAGAGGCAAGTGTTCTCAGAACAGTGCAGGGCGCTGAACCTGCACCACCCAGATATCCCCATGTGGACAGCGTCCAGATGAGGAACTAAAACCCTAACCAGGACCCCCGGTGCCCCGCATCCTTCCAGTCAGTCCCCAGCACCACCACCGCCTTAACAGCACTGGCAGAGTGGGTCTCACCTGCCCTTGGGTTCGGGGGAATGGAAATCATGATCCGCCACTCTGTGCAGGCTTCGTTGGCTGATACCAGGCTTGCATAGACCACCAGATAAAACACAGGACAACCAGTGAAATCTCAATTTCCGATAAACAACACATACTTTTAAGACCAGGCGTGAGGTCGTTAGTGGAAGTAGACCCCAGATGCCCCCATTTGGGATGTGCTTACACAACAAAAAGTATTCATTGTTCATCTGAAATTCTAATTTTCCTGGGCGTCCTATGGTGGTCACACAGATCTGGCAACCGTGTGACGAAGGGGTCAGCCACAGAGAGTCACATGCCTGGAGACTGTGCCTTCCAGGGCCATGGGTCGGCTGTAGACACACCATGGTCCAGTCCTGTTCTTATCTGCCCCTCCTCCCACAGTGCTGGCTGTGGCGGCCTCCTGTCCCCACGTGTCTCTGCAGGAGATGACACACGTGTGTGCCCCCAAAAGACCAGAGAGAGAGACTGGTGCCCCGCAGGGCGCTGGTGGCCGTGTGGACACGCTGACAGCTCTGCCCACTTGTGTCCCGCATCAACACTGGGTTGGATTTCTTTTTTTAATTTTTCATTATTATATTTTGCAATACATAATGAATACATTCATCCTAGGATACTGGTACATGTACATATCGCATCTTGATCCTTTTTATTTCCTCTTCTCCTCCCTTCCCCATCATATTTTCGATCATACCATCCTCTCTGGTGGGTGATAATGGTCTCTTCTCGTGGCCTTCATGGTGTGGGCTGGTGACTAGCAAGGTGGGTCGAGTGCTGTCCAGCCCTGAGTTACCAGCCCTGCAGTGCCTTGCAAGTCTTCTGCCCTGTCTCACTGGTTCGCCTTTTTCTTCTTGATGTGTAGCAGCACCCTGTGTATTTTGGGCTGGAGTTCTAACTGGATATAGTCTCCCACTCTGTAGCTTGCCTTTTTATTCTCTTAATGGTGACTTTTCATAACTGAAGTTTTAAATTGTAATGAAATCTAATGTATCACATTTTCCCCTTATGTTAGTGTTTTTACGCCTAAGAAATCTTTGCCTAGTCCAGGGTGACAAAGATACTCTCCTTGATTTTCTTCCCCAAAAGTTCTATTGTTTTATTTTCCACTTTGATTTCTGCAGTCTCTCTAGAATTGATTGCGTCTGTGATTGTGGTAAGGGTCCAGACACCAAGAAAGATCTGTAAATGACATCTTCTTCTCACTGGAGACCTACTGACTCAGCCCACTTACTAGGAAAAAACAGCCACTTCCCATGGTTCTGCAGTGTCACACTGTCACTGATCAGGAAACTGGATGTTACTGGTCTGCTGCTAAACTTTCTGTACTGTTGATATTTTATTTATGGGAAGGCCTTTAAATAGTGGATTCAATGTGCTGAATACATATTGGACCACAACGATGTTCTATTTCTTCTGTCAGCTTTGGTTATTCTTGAGGAATTTGTCCTGTTTGTTCAAACTGTTGAATTTATTGATATAGATTTGTTTCCAGCGTCCTCTGTCACATCCCTGTCTGTGAGATCTGTAGTGATGTCTCTCTCCAGTCTTATCACTGGTGAGTTACGTTTTCTCTCACTGCCCTTGATTAGTCTTGGTAGGGAGTTATCATTTCTATTCATCTTTTCTTTTTTTTCCTATTCATCTTTTCAAAGAACAACTTTTGGCTTTGTTCCTTTTTGTGTATTGCATATTTTCTTTCTATTTCATTGATCTCTGTTCTTATTTTTATTATTTCTTTTCTTTTGCTTTCTTGGGGTATAATTTAATGTTATTTTTCACTAATTTAAATAAATTAGTTTCACCATTTCTTCTGTTCCAATTTATAGCTTCTTTGGGGGGCAGTACTGGGGATTGAACTCGGGTCCCTGTGCTTGCACAGCAGGCAGCCAAACCACTGAGCTAAATCCCCAGCCCTAAATTTTTTTTTTTTTTTTTTTTTTGGTACTGGGGATAGAACTTGGGTCCTTACACTTGCAAGGCAGGCAGTGGAACCACTGAGCTAAATCCCCGGCCCAATTTATAGCTTTTTAAATGTTTAATTTTAAATTCTTTTCCAATTTATAGCATTTAATGCTGTCCATATTCATTTATAATATCACAACTTCGGTCTCTTGCATTCTTTCCTGAAGAACTCTAATTAGTTTTTCTTTATGTTCAACCTCCTCATAACAAAGTTGCTCAGCTCTGTGCTTTGTAATAATTCATTATTTTATCTTCATTTTGGAAGGATTTTTTGCTGGTTATAAAATTCTGGTTGGCAGTCATTTTCTTTTGGCATTTTGAATACACTGTACATATAATTTCAGGACATGCTGGCTTCCATCATTCTTATTTTTGTTTTGAGATGATAGCTGTCTATCTTATGTTCCTTTTAAAGTAATATGTCCCTTTTTCTGTTGCTTTTAACATTTTTTCTTTGCTTTGACAATTTTACTTTGACATAGCAAGGTATGATTCTTTGTCTTGCTTATAGTTTTCTTGAGCAGCCTGAATCTATGGGTAGATTTCTCAGTGGTTTTGGAAAATTCTTGCCATGTTTCTCTGACTACTGCTTCTGCCCATTCTCTCTATCCCTTTGTTTGGGATTCCAGTCATATGTCAGACCTTCTGGATGTGTTGCACACATCTCTTAGGGTGCATTTTGCTGTTGTTTCTTCTTTGTCTCCCATTCTTTTTTCTCCCCATGCTTCAGTCTGGGTCTCCTCTCTTGAGCTTCCTCATTTTCATTAAATCTATGTTCTGTTGGGTCCAACCTGTTAACAAGTCCATTTACTGAGTCTTTATTTTTAGGCTGTGATTTTTCTTGGCTCTAGAATTATCATTTGTTTCTTTTTTATAAATTTCAATTCTCTAAATTTTCCACCTTATTATCTAATTTCCCCTTCTATTTTCCTTAGTGCACTAATCACAACTGTGTTCAAGTATTTATGTGTTAATTCTACTACCTGAATCATCTGCTGTCTGCATTAACTATCAATCATTTTTCTTGCTTCTTTATATTTTTAGCAATTTTTGGATCATATGATAGACACTGGGCATAGAAGAATCACAGAGGAGACAGATGAGGGGCTCCCCTCTCCTCTGTTAGGCAGGTGGTATGACAGTCCACCATTGCATCACGGTCAGAGACACAAAGGTTGGGGATGAGCAGACTGTCCGGTCACTGCTGCTCTGAGCCTGGTGGGTCTCTGCCTTCCCAGACCCCAAATCTCCAGGAGATCCAATTCTGCCCTCCGGTCCACCTCAGCCTCTGGCCTCCTGCTGCCTACAGCTCTGGAATCTGGCAAACATCCCCAGGCAGCATGCCAGAGGGAAGTTTTCATCACCTTACCTCTCTGGACTCTGGGAGCCTCTGCCAGACTCCTCGCCTCCCCAGAACCGGCAGAGTGCAGCCGGAAAGCCCGAGTTTCCCAGGCATTCTGCCAGCCCCACACACCTGGGCTCTCTCTCCCCACAGACTCAGCCTGCTCAACCTGAGCCCTAGACAAGCAAACACCTGGAATTGTCAAATGCTTCTTGGGAAAAAAGGCACCAGGAAGCTCACTTCCTCTCAGAAAAACTCTCCCTCTTGTCCACTGAGCCTCATTTCCATGGCTTAGTGAACTTTACAAGCACTATTTTTCAAACCTCTTCAGTTTTTTCCAGTTTTGCACCTGGAGAATCAGCCTGCTCTAATGTGAGGCAAACTGTCTGCCCCAAGGCAAAGCCTTGCAAAGGTTTTAGAAAAGACATGAAGATAGCTCGTCATGTCTGCCTGTATCTAACACTCAATTAATAAATGTTTATTCACAAAAATTTGATCTTATTCACCAATTATTTTTTGATGGGTGGCAAGTTCATTTTTTAGCACTCTATTTAAATATCTCCCTCTGGCTTTTCTCTCCCAGGGTGGGCAGAGGACCCTGAGATGAAGGCTTTGGCATCTGAAGCTGTTTAAAAACATCAGGCCGCAGAGGGCTGGGGATTTAGCTCAGCGGTTCCGCACCTGCCTTGCAAGCACAAAATCCTGAGTTCGATCCCCGGTAGCAAAAAAAAATAAAAATAAAAAAAATAAAAACATCAGGCCACACAAGGCAAGAAATTAAACAGAAAAGGAAAGAAGGAAGCCAACAACAGGAAAATAACGTGACAGAGATAAGACA